CTCCTTAGTTATGTTCTTTTATGATATTATCTATTAATTCAAATCGGTCCAAATATTATTTCGCCAACTAGTTATGTTTAAAAGATACACACACCGGAACAAAAAGTACAGGAACATTTTTTTAGTAACGTTTATTCAATTATTTACAAAAAATAAATGCGCATTTGACCTCGATCACAATCCGCAGACAGGGAATTATTCTAATTCCTTTTTATTTAAAAATAGTGGGTTGAAATAAATAAGAATTAGACAAAAAGTAGCAATTTAATTACCGTCTTGTAACATAGATTTACTCAGCCTGTGTAGCCTTCCTCAAACTTTATTGAAACAAAAAAATGCTTTTTTCTAAAGGTTTTGTGATAAAACAGATACAGCAGAAAATTTAAAATATGTAACAGATTAACATTGATCAAAATTTAATAAAAAAAGAAACAATTCTTTCAACTAAGTTTCAGAAATATAAAGGAACGCAAAATCAACCTTAACATTCTCGACAAAAAAATTACAGTAGAAATTTTTTTTTTTCAAATTATACCTAAAAAAAAGAAAAATAACTCACCAGACTTTTGAAACTATATTTATTTATACTTGGTACTTGGTGTAACGGGTTGGTATCCGCAACTCGACGTCAAGGCGCCTATTTTGTTATATGGGAATTACTTTACTAATGTTCGACTAAATATAACGGTGTGTGTAATATCTATTTTCCTGGTAGTTCACCGTATGATTTCCACTGATTGCAGGGCTTTTTACTACATTGTGATATTTTATTGTTCTCCCGACATTATCACAACAATTTTTTGTCCGATATAACGTTTGTTCGAATTTTCATTGCACTGAAAACCGGATTATAACGAAACTGTTGCTCTTTCAGGATAAGTTGAATATTTTAGTAGCAGTAGAGCTCCTTGTGAAAGAGCTCGTCCAGGGAAGTACTGCCACCTTACCTATTTCTGCCGCCAAGCAGTAATGGTCACATTACTGTGTTCCGGTTGTGAAGGGTAAGGGTGCTGGTGAAATTACAGGCACATGAGACTTGTCAACTTATGTCTCAGGGTGACGGGCGCAGTGGCAGTGCCCCCAAGATCTTTGTAATTTAAAGCTCTTGGTGGCACTGCAACTGTTATGGGCAGGCGTGTAGCTTACCATCAGGCACACGACTTGTTCGTCCCGTTACTTAATGTCATAAAAAAAAAAAAAAAAAAAAAAAATAATATTATCGCAAAGACACGATTAGGTTCGGTTAGGTTAGGTTAAGTTAGGTTTAAAAGAAAAAACATTTTCCTCTCAAAATTACTTTCGAGGTTATGGAAATTCGAACAAACGTTGTTTCTGGAAAATGTAATTTCGGACTACTCATAGGTAACCCTAGCACGACATGGTGCGACTTGAGCGAGAGCGACATAGAAGCGCAAAGTATTTCTATTTTCTATGCGGGAATAGCAGTGTCTCACACTTTATGTCGTGGCGCCCTGTCGTGCTAGCCCTACTGACACAAAGGAACCTTTGGCTGTGTCAATCTGTTTGCAGCCTAAATGTAGCTGCAAACAGATTGACTGCATGTTTGCAGCCGCTACCGTGACTGCATGAAGTTGATAACATCACGCATTAACTGCATGCAGTAGGTTTCAACTGCATGCAGTTAATACGTAATGCTTTTACATCATCAAAATTGGTTCACAAAAGCCGGAGTAATCTTGTAACATACGCACAAAAAAAACACAATCGGATTAAGAACCTCCTCCTTTTTTGAAGTTGGTTGATAAAATAACACGACCCCGGAGCGTGTAACCGCGGCCTGATCTAGTGGTATTTTACTCAAGACCATACAATTACCGTTATTATAATATGTGAAATTTTGAAAGCGAGACTATTTACGTCTGTTAAAAAAGTCTCTATTATTTCGTTAATCTACATATTGTCTATACAAAGCGGAATATGCAATAATACATAACTAGTACTATAAAACAAGTTACCATTATATTAATATAGGTACACTATATAATAAAAGTAATAATTATTTGCCAGGTAACCATACCAATTACCTGGTCCCTAACTAGGGAAATTTTGTACGAGAACATACATACCAGGGGGTCTATTATTGTTCTCCATCCGAAATAATTAGCGTCAAATAAGTAATTGTTTCGGACGAATGTCGGACGAAAAACGAGAGTAAGAAGTCGGACGAAGAACGCCGATTTCGTCAAAATATCAAGTGCAAATATACTTATTATTACAGTAAATGGAATAATAAGAAAAAAAAACTAATTCATAAACACCATGCATTTAAAAATAATTTAGTCATATAAACATATTATACATGTATATATAGATATATTACAAAATAAATTAAAATATATACATGTTGTTGATTATAAAAGTTTGTGCGAATTGAATGTGGAAACACAAGCTAATAAAAAGACAATGATCATGATATGATAGCTAACATCGAACTAAACTCTAATATCCATTCAGTTCTACGTTGTAAATACAGACTTAATTTGTCATTGTTTTTACTACAAAACTTATCTACAATCGAAACGGGGTCACCAAAAACACATCGCACACTATAGGAAAAAAGAAAACCTGTTTCTATATTGAAAAAAAAAAATACAAAATAACTAAATAGTGTCTATTAAAAATAACCACACATAAACCTATACTTGTCTGTTACACATATTACAAGTGGGTATGTACTACAGCCAACAAACGGTTATCGTTAACTGTTAACATGTAACGGTTTTATACACTCGTCATCGCAATAATGTCCTGATAATGCCTTATTCTGTACTTGGCTCTTTATGAATCCATACTACCTCAGCTCGAAAGAACTGAATCGGTTATTGTGCGAATCGAGCGATAGGAACACATGTTTATTTCAGAATTTACTTTCTTACAAATGAAAATTAAACCATTTGAAAAATGTATATCGTACACTATACGTTTTCTATTTACTTCACTTGGTTTAAAAAAACAATCACTGGTATATGTAAAATTTCGAGAAAAACTTTGTGTTTTTTTTTCTATCGTGAAAATTATTAGGAGTCGTGTTTTCACACCGTATACTAATCAGTGTATACCTATGCTCAATTTAAATATATATTTTTTCCAAATTGATTCGACACTTTTTCAGTGTTAAGCAGAATCAACCAAAGCCATTTGAGGTTGAATCTACTCTCACGTCGTTTCAAAGAATTATGAACTAATATATATGGAGAATAATTCGCACCCATGAACGAACCGATCACCGATGGGGCACTGAAAAAAAACTTGTGAACTGGTGCGCTAAACCAAAACAGGTCACTTCGAGGATTTGGTCTGAAAGTTATAAAACGAATCTTTGACTTCGCCTAAGCAAAAATGGCGAGCTATGCAAGTTTTTCGTATTTACAAAACGATGTTTGCTTAAGGTTAAAAAATTACGAAATAAACTGAAAATGTAATTGAATTTCTTGCTTAAACTTAGGCAAAGTTTGTTTTGTAAATACAAAAAACTCAGTCAATTCGCCAATTTTTGCTTAGTCGAAGTCAAAGATCGTTTTATAAATCTCAGCCTTAGACAGCATCGAGCACTAGCACCAGCCGATTTTTTCCAAGTGAATTCAACTTCAATTTTCGCCCATCATTTTGTTGTCTAAATTTAAAATATTCATTAAAATACAGTACAACTATTTTCTATATCCCGGATTTCTGAATGCACCCGAATACAAATTGCAAGTCTAGTAACTATTAAACTTATCTATTATCACTTGAAATCAGAACCACATGCATTATTGTTGTTTTTTTTGCATTTCCATGTGAAATGTACAGAGGTGTAAAACTATTTCTCTTTTTAACCGACTTCAAAAAAGGAGGAGGTTCTCAATTCGACTGTATGTTTTTTTTGTATGTATGTTACGCGATAACTCCAGTATTTGTGAACCGATTGTCATGATTCTTTTTTTGTTGGAAAGGGGGTACATCCATAGTGGTCCCATTTCATTTTGAAGAAAATCATACACCTCGAAGGGTGGCTGTTCACGCATAAAGATTCATTTTTATAAATAGCGCCTAACTTTAATTTAGGAGCAATTACTTTAATGGTTGATTTTGCTATTTCTCCAATTCAAGGCGCTTTTCTCTCAATATACTTTGAGTAGTATCGTAGTAAGAACCTATTTTTATTATCTCCAGTGTCAAGTCCTGTATAGTGGCGAACTAGGGGATATTTCAATAAAACTTAGCAAATAGACGTAAGTCCACGTACTTTTGAGGTCGGTTTTTTTAGTACTCTGTACTGAGATTATTATATCAAGTACTCTTTAACAATGTACCATGCAAATGAACAAAAACTTAACTAAATTAAGATTAGTAGCTATTCGTATACTTCAAAGTGGAATAAATGCGTACTGTCTGCACCAATTGCCAAGAGATATTAAGAATATAGTTGCACTGTACCATCGAATATATAACCAGAAATCATCGAGTATTTAACCAGAAATAGAGACGAAATGTCATTTAATTTGTTTGAAAACTATTCTGCCATATCATTACTGTGACAACTGCGCTCCGATTGGCCAGACCGAATTCGGAACAATTGACCGTCAATTGTTCCGAATTCGGTCTGGCCAATCGGGTATCGTCAACTGTTTCACTTCAAATCGACAGGCAAATGGACCTTATCACTTTTGAATATCAACTCCGTTATAGAAAAGTTCCAGTTAAACCGGTCAATTTGAAGTGAAACAATTGACGACACCCGTCAATTGTTTCGAATTAGGGCTGGCCAATCGGAGCGCAGTTGTCACCGTAATGATTTGGCAGAATAGTTTTCAAGCAAATTAAATGACATTTCGTCTATATTTCTGGTTATATACTCGATGCTTGTATATTAGCATGTTAAGCGATTTATCGTATATTGGCTATAGTCCCCAATACGTTGTTACAACAAAAAGCGTTCTACCTAATGGGACGTTCACGGAATACCATGCATTCGTCGCTAAAGGAGATAAACTTGTACACAATCACGAATACATAAAAGGCAATCACAAATCCTTCCATATAAACAATGTTGCTGGGTCTTATCCTATATTGAACTGAATAATAGGAATCAGGCGTTGAAGACATTGTATCCATCTTAAGGGATATGTGCGCTAGGCGTATTTGCAAATATAGATTGTGCCTTTACGACGAGTTTATAGTGACAGTCTAGCTAGCAACCATGTAACATGTTAGATCATTTTGTATGGCAAATTTTACAGTACCCCTAGTGGCAACAAAACTTGAACAACAACAACAAACAACAGTTTGTATAGAAATTTTTGTCATTGTCAATAGCGACAACCGTCGCATCGTGATACATACTGGGTAACCACGGCCAGGCAACAGACACTGGTTTTCGTGGTTCTTCACTAAATGATTATCACTAATTACAGATTTCTTACCACGATATGATTTCTTTTTATTTTCTCGATATTTCGGAACGGTTACATGCTTCATAGTCACGGGTTAACTGGTCAGCGGCAGACGACAGCTTTAAGAACAAACATATCTGTCTACCCTCATTCGCTGTCGACGACTACCCTCACCTCGATAACATATGGCGTTACCATTGTCACTCACTTTTTTCCAACAAACCACACTCACTGTGTCCACACGCGAAACTGAAGGCAAACTATTTTTGTTTTTATTATTGTAAGCTGTAAGAACCGCATTCTATGCACTACATAGTTTAAATCCACCTTTAGGGTTAAACGTTTGGTACTTTGTGATCTCGAAGGCTTTTCGTACCAAATTGGTGTGAGAAGCCATCGAGATCGTAATGTACCAAAGTGTGGTTTGTTTGTCGGAAAAAAGTGAGTGACAATGGTAACGCTACAAGTAATCAAGATGAGCGTAGTCGACGACAGCGAAAGAGGGTAGTCAGATATGTCTGTTCTTAAAGCTGACATCTGCCGTTGACCAGTCAACCTGTGACCATGGAACGTGTAACCGTTTCGAAATATACTAAAAATAAAAAGAAATCATATAGTAAGAAACCTGTAATTATTGATCATCATTGAACAGACTCTGGTTTGAGTCTAGTGAGATCGAACGAAGGAACTTATCTTTGTATTTGTTCGATCTTTGCATCAATAATATTAACAACAAAAAAATATAACAATATCATTGTAGAATTTTTTTTAATGACTTGGTACTTTATGCACATCGATCGAGATGTGGTTAACGGCAGACGATAATGTATCATCAGCCCTTGTAATGTCACATTTAGTAGAAGGCAATTGAGTCTAATCAATTTCTCACGTCACACAGAACGTTATATTAAAAAAAAATTACTCATCAATTTATTAGCAGTAGAAATTATGAAAAAGTTCGTTCAAGGAAGTAGTCATTTTACCTATTTCTGCCGCGAAGCAGTAATGTAAACATTACTGCGTTTCGGTTTTGTAGCGTAAGGGTGCTGGTTTATGTCTCAGGGTGAAGGGTGCAACGATAGTGTCACTGCTGTACACAAGCGTGTTAGCATAAGGCGCACAACTTGATCGTCCGGTTAACTGATATGATAAAAAAACAAATGTTCCACTGCCAATCATTTTGCTTTTTCTTGCAGCAATGAAAATTTGCCGGTACTACGAATAAGACCCAGCTGTGGTCATGCAGACAGACATACTTTAAATGCTCGGTCCACGTCTTGAGGCGGCGCGTGGCAGCGACGCCGGCGGGCGCGGGCGGCGGCTCCCGCACCACGGAGCTCGCACACGCACTATTGCACGCAACCAATGAGTGGGGGTGGGGCGATGATCGTGATAAGGGGTAGCCGCGCGATCGTCACTTGTTTCCCTATCTTCATTTATTTATTATTGCACTTCCTATTTTATTCCATATAATTCAAGTAATAAAAATATTTGGTTTTTATACCGATATTTTGCCTCGGTTCTATAGGAATAAAATTAAAGGAATTTCAAAAATGTATATCGTGTATTATACGGTTTCTGTTTAGTTCAGCGGATATAAAAAAAATCATTGGCATATGTAAAATACCTATTGTAGTAAAAATTCGAGGTAAGTTTGTGTTTTTTTCCGTCGTGAAAATTTTTAGGAATGGTGTTTTCACACCGTAACCGTGTATATCTTCCACTTTACTACTATATTTTTTCCAAAGTGATTAAGTCCAACACTTTCACTGTTATGCGGAATCAACCAAAGCCATTTGAGGGTGTATAGACTCATAAGTGGTTTAGTTCTGTAATTTTCCTTTGTTTTATAAAAAAAAAAGAACCTGTAGCAAGTCATTTTCATGCTTGAAAACAGGTCTCAACATTCCATGTAATATTGCTTATGTTTGATACGATATTACATAATACAGTGTGGTTTTTTAACCACAACAGTGTGGAGTAATCTGAAACCATAGGAGATACAAAGGAACTGTCTTAGGAACCACTAGGATCTTTTTGGTAGAGTGAGTTGTTCATAAGAATGAAATGACATTAAATTGTTTTTTTGTGAAATTACTCCACTAGTTTGTTATAATTATTAATACAAAGATCGAACACTCAAGAAAAAATCCTTAAATCCGGCTGGACTCGAACGTCTCCTAGCAAACCGTGGCAGACGCTAAGCCAATTAAGCCACGGAACGAACCAGCGGACCTCACGGATTTTTCTATGTGATTGTTTGTCGGATCTTTGTATTTGGTTTTTCAACGACTTTATAGACATGTATGATAGATCTATGAAAGTATTTCGTCTTACAATATTACTAATTTTGACCAAAAAGTCGACTATTTCAAAATTGTTTTCGCAAAAGAAACCTAATGGTTTTTAAGATTGCTTCCCTGTATCTCCCATGGTTTCGGATTTCTCCATACTGTCCCAGTTAACACAATCACACTGTATATGTATAGGCTTGAAAAAATTTGCATCCCCTGCATAGAAATTTTAATTCTTGCATACTGATTATTACATGCCATTTTATAAGAGAAAGTCCCCGGTGCAATTGGTACGTTTTAGTAACTTATTGCAGAGGCCGGGAAGTAAAGGATTGAAGAACGAGTAGAGTATTATACGAGTCAGGCAATCCACATTCCCGCCGAAGTATATATATACTTTATAGCACTTTTCTCAAACAATGCGAGGAAATAAAGACTAAAGATTGAAGGAGAAGTATAATAGAAAAAAATAATAATAAGATATTTAATTAATATTCGAAGACAATTTTTGCCTCTTGTTTTAAATTAGGCGAAGTATTATAGCTCTTCACCAAAAAAATAGAAAAACTTCTATTTTTAAACGTTTTACATTTTATTTTTATAAGTTTTCACCCACGTATTTGGGAAGGCAAAGGTTCTATCATACAGCCACTTCATGATTACTGTGCACTATAATTAAATGCAATTATTTTGCATTTAATGTAATATCATATCGACTATGAACTGGCAGCCGGTAATATCTCAATTTTAACAACTTTACAGGATAAAGAAATAATCATTAATATAGCATCTGGTTTATTAAATAAAAATACGTAGTGTACATACATGTGTAATAAAACATATTTAAAAACTACATATGTTTATTTAATAAACCAGATGCTATACAAATGACGCAAACAATGTTTTTCTTCATCCTGTAAAGTTGTCAAAATTGAGATAGTACCGATTGCCAGTTCACAGTCGATATGCAATATTTTTAAAATTTTCGCAATTACGGGCACTGACGCTAGTGAGCAGTTGGCCGTGTCATATTTTTTCCTTTAGTCTATGTTTACATAGGTCTTTGTTAGTAGATATATTTATTTAAAAGTTTAGAGTAGCGGACAGTATTGGATATTCATAGTTTATTTGCCGGCCTACCCATAAATGTCACACTTATTGCTTACAAAATTTCCGAGCATGTTTGAGAAAAAATCATTTACTTCAAGATTACGATTTTGACCAATTAGGTCGTGATTTGACAGATCGCGAAGCTCACCCGGTGAAAATAATTTATGACAATGTAGAGTGAAGTGTTGCATAGTATCGGGAGTGTATGAGGCAAGTAATGGGACAGCAGGTGGTACACACACTCATGCCATTTGTGAAAGTTGTGAAAACTTGCATTTTTTATTCAGGAATTTCAGTAATAATCGATTCAAATTAATGTGAAGTGGCGTTAACGCCGTTATAATATAAGTTAGCATACTTAGTTTTCGCAAAATAAATAACAATGCCGAGTTATTAAGTTTCTCGATTGCTACACTTCGGATATGAAACTGGTTATATATCTGTCAGCATCCTGTAACGTTTAGTTTGTTCAAATAGACGCTATTTAGAGACGAAAAAGAAATGGTATCATTTTTTCCACATTGGTACTAATTCCTTAAAAAAAATACTTAGTTCCACAAACTTTCGGAAAGTTAGTATATCGATATCATGCAACACTGGTCATGAGATAAGCCAAGAAGCAATCCAGTTCGGATCAAAGTTTGAGTAGTAAAGAAAAGTGTATGTAATTTCAAAGTGTTAGAACTGAAACTGTGTTGTTTTATTTCTCTAACACATTCTTTTGCTATATTGACATTTTTGAGAGGAGTGTACAAAAAATCATAAAGCATAAAGTTTTGAGGCAATTACATAAAATCCAAGCGGTAGTCGATTTTCTCCATTTTGATCTGCTCAATGAATCGCGTTGTTACACATAGGCAAGGCGAATTGTACAAGAGCAAAACACCAAAACGAAACGTGTTTGTTGTATTAAACGTGTACCGCCCTCTCAAAATTCTACCATAACTATGTAGACGTGAAAAGTTATTTATAATAAACGTATATAAAGGACTTAGATAGTAACGACAATCCGTAGGCTCTGCCTACGTCTCAGGGAGGCAGTGTCTCGACATGTAATCACGTATAACATTCACATCTACATAGTTGGATGCAGCAGACAACACCGACATGCGCTTACCCTCTCTCCGCATCCGGTGGACAAGTTCTCCTGGCCGCCTTGGCCTCGGCCTTGGGCGCCTTTGGAACCTCTTCTTCCTGCAGCATTGCACCCAAGATCTGTTCAGCTCGCTCTTCGTTATACGCAACGCTTTCTAAAGCCATAGATATGACGCGTTCAGCAACCGTTTTGTATTTAGCTTGAAGCTTCTGTTTCACTGTAATACACGGGAAAAAAACAATTTACTAGAATCTAAACTGCAGTGCACATAACAAGGAAATTGGTTGTCTTTATTATCACTTCATTGATTAAATATAAACTTGATAAGCGTAATCGTCGACAGGAAGTTGCTTATTGCCGTGTTGATGTAATATGGTATCCGCAGGTAATTATTACTTTTAACCGACTTCAAAAAAAGAGGAGGTTCTGATTTCGACTGTGTATTTTTTTTGTATGTATGTTACGCGATTAGAAGAAAATATTCCACCTTTAGGAATTTTTGTGGTGTTAAAACTGCTTCCGTTCCAACGAACCACAGTCTATGTTGGTCTGTCCAAAAATCAGGTATTCTCGAAGATATTGTGACTGCCATCAGGTCGTCGATCGCTTGTGATCGTGGTGGTGGACTCGGCGGTGGCGTTGCCATTGTGCAATATTAATTTTTACGCGGATAGCGTCAAACTGAGGTACTCCTCTAAGCTGCCCCTGAGCTGTATGCTGCAGCAGTGCAATATACAGGAGTCTTCTCTCCGTTCCATTTTAAGCGTTTTGGGTCACCAAACTTTTGTGGGAGGTCCTATTAACTACCCGGATTTAACGTATTCACTATGAGGATTCCAAAGTCAAAACTCCGGTATCATTTAGTTGTCACACTTTTATTGCTCCCTGCCAAATAGTATACGGTACGAAACAATTAGACGATTTAATCGGAACTACTTATGGCGAGGAATATTGCTAGAATCAACGTAACGTCAGCATATGTGTCCCTACACACATCTAAAGGTGGTAAACTAGGAGATGATTCACTGATTTTAATAAAACTTGGCAAATAGATGTTATTCCACGAACTATAGAGGTCGCTTTTATTAGCACTCTGTACTGAGTTTATCTCAAACGTATATGGATCGTGCGACTTGTTCCCGGCCAAGGCCTGCCAAGATTTAGAGACAGTTACAATTTTTTATGGAAAAAGCGAACTTGTAAAATGTACCTTTAGCCCAAAAATGTAACTTTTCTAGTAACGAAATGTAATTTTCGACTGAAGGGCCTTGGCAACACCACGGCAACACTGATTGTTTAACTTGTTATTTGAGGTTAATTGCGGATAACGCAATGAATTCAAATCGGCTGCAGATATAAAGTTATTTTTGTTGTTGACTAAAATCAGTAACCAATAAACCAAAACAAAATGGCTGCTTTCGGCACCAGTCGCATTTAAATTGATTGATATTAACTGCCAGTCGATTTGAAATATTAAAATCGACACTATTCCTATTACAAAAAGTACAAAATCGTAGTTTCAAAATATGACATAACTATTATGATAATAGATAACAATAAAATAGCGTAACGTCGTCCAATCAGCGCCATTTCTCCCTGACAGCCTATTCGCTATTGCATACCCGCTCGATCGCGCGACGCAGTCGCAACAGCAGAATAGCAGCATAACGAAAGCAGTTTAGACAGTTATTCGATCATTTTAATACATTGCGTAAGAATAATTACATTATCTGCTATTGTAATAATGTCCACTTTTATAACAAAAAATAATTCATATTTTTTTACTTTTTCTATTAAACATTTTCCTCTCTTTAGTCATTTATGATTTCCTCACAGTGTTTGAGAAAAGCACAATATATTTCTCGGCGGGATCGGGGATTGATCAACTCGTATTGCAATCCACCAATCCCTTACTTCCCAGCCTCTGCAATAATGTATTAAATAGCCAAATGGTTACGTGCATTTAACTAGTAATATCCTATTGTTTCTTCAACAACTACACTCACTGTATTCGCGTGTGAAACAATGGTAACGCAGCTAGAAATCAATGTGAGTGTAGTTGTCAGTATTAACTAAAGGGTATAAGACAAATGTTGCCATAATCTATACAGAGTGTAATCGTTATGTGTGCCCGGGCGAAATCAAAAACCTTTAAATTGATACCTAAAGTACGCTAGGTACCTAATGAGGAAAACGACATCAGTAACTTTTTTTAAATAAAACTAGAAATATCCAAAATTTTATTGTTAAATATCATTAATGTAATGTCATTAGTAGAGGGACTTTCATAGACCTTGGCTTTACCTTTAAGTCTATGGAATAAGGGCGCAAAAGAGCGAAAAAATGCAATAAATTTAAAAACAACACTCGTGTTGGCATTTTTTTTAAATTGCGCATTTGACCTCCATCTTAGCTGGTGGAATAGAAAAAACATCTCTGGTTATATTGACCAATAGAAACCTCGTCGAGTTTTATTGAAAAGAAACTTTAGCACTTTGTCAAGTCATAAAGTTAACTATTTCGATTCAGTTGCCTGGCTGTAAATGTATTTAGATCTTAATAATATGCCAATAAGGTTTAAATTTAAATCTTAACGCAAACGCGATAGTTAAGTTTACACATTTGAAAACTTACAAGACCTCATTTATTTTTTATTTTATTATTTTTTTTTATAATATTATATGACGGGACGAACAAGTCGTGCGCCTGATGGTAAGTTACACGCCTATCCATAACAGTTGCAGTGCCACTCAAAGCTTTAAATCACAATGATCTCGGGGGCATTGCCCGCAGTAATGCCCACATTTCTACTTGACAGAAATAGGTACTTTTCTTGACGAATCCTTTCACAAGTATCTCTACTGCTACTAAACGTTACGAGTATGAGGATCCACTTATTTGAAATAAACATTCACTGCGCCGAAGCGTGACTATCGCCCAATTCCTTACTTCTTGGAGCCTACATCCAACAGTAGATACGTTAAAGTTGGATTCAGACTTACGTTCATTCTTTTCCGCCGTTGTCTTCATGATGGTGACGACTTTCTTCGGCGGCTGCGGCGTCTCCTTCTCCTTCTTCTTAGGAAGAGCGACAGGCTCCTTCTTACTGAAACCCTTGCTGAGGAGTTCCTCACTCGCCTTCAGCACGTTGTTGTCTCTATTTGTCAGTACATCGAGAATGAGAGTTTCTTCTGCTTTCGGAAAGATGCTTTTCAGGTACCTGTGTTTGTAAAGATGCCAAGTTAATGGAATGCGCGTTATCACAAATTTTTCATATACTAACCTAACCAAACCTACCCACATAAATTTGACCTGTGCGATTAATTTATTTTGACTAAAGCCAAGGAACAAGAATCACTTTTCCACTTTGACGTTTTAATAATGTAATCTTTAGTAGATGTAAATTGTTTTGAGATTTGTTGAAGCGGGCGAGAATTGTTCTTCCTCTTCTGTGATTTTCGTACAAATGAGAAGCATCAATTTTAAAATGGTTCTGTTAATTCAAAAAGTTTTGCGGACGTAGACAAACAAATAAAAAACAAACATTTATTTATTACAACATGCTGCAAGTCAGGAGTGGCTAAATTTGTGAAATCTATTAATATTAACATTTCGTATCGTACTTGCTTACCTTATTTGATTACGAAAATTGAGTTTGTATCTTAGATTATATCCTCTAAGGTTTGAATTCCAAAATTGAATTTGTATTTAAAATTTTAGAATAAAATTTGAAATCGAAGCTCGAGTTTGAATTTGAAGTTTTAAAATAAATTTTTAATTTGAAGCTTAAGTTACAATTTGGTGATTGAGTTTGGAATTGAAAATTGAATTTGCCCAAGAATACAAGTCGATTACTTCATAGATGACGGGGTGTCTAAATCTCACTTGAGTTTCATCTTTGGTGACTGATGGCGACGCTGCTGCCCTTCAGAGGACTTGTTCGTGCCGTAGTAACTGGACGCCCCCGACGCCGGCCGCACGAGTAATGGCGAACCTATAAATAAACAACAAAAAATAAGTCTCATCAAAAACGACATATTTTTTACAAAAACAATTTTAAACGCATTCATTTTATCGTATATTGATGTTGTACTCGTTAGAACTGTTTTATTGATATGTCATATGATATTAAAAAGATTGTATGAGATTTATCTTTAAGATTGACGTTTTATCAGTCAAGTGAAATCGGTCTTTTTGCTAACAACCTCATACCTTGCTGTTGCCTTAACGTGGGCGTTCTTGATCAATAAAAAAAATTGACTTACGGCATACATCGAAACTGACACTCAAGGAAATAATTAATATATTACTTGAAAGCTTTGAGAAAACTGACACTGGCGATGATCGTCGTAATTAACCGACTTCAAAACTAGGGGATGAATGACTTTTGAGTTCGGTTTTTTTAGTACTGTGTAGTGAGATTATTTGTATAATATTCTTATAAAAGTGACACTAGAACAGGACTAGTGGCCGCCATAAAGGAAATAAAACTATATTACTTCTTCGTGGCAGACTGTATGTAGTTTGGATAAAACTGCGTGACCTATATTCACAATGTTTTTCAATTGTATCTACTTCTAATTGTAACAATTGAGTGAATTGCGAATTAGAAAAGAGTCAAGGAAAAAGGAAATCTTTTAAATACAATAAAGAACAGAAAGTGGAAAATTTTCGGACATTTGTTACGCAATGACGAATTTGTGAGAATAAAATTGAAGGAAAAAGAAAAAGAGGAAGACCAAGAGACAAACAGAGAACAAAAATAAGGACATCAAAGAGAGCAGCTCAAAGAAGTCCAGGAGCTGGCTATGAACAGTGAGGAGTAGAGCAGTCTACACCGACAAGAGCGTGGCAATTAAAAGGGATGATGATTAATGCATTTGCTACAAATGTATAAGGGCGCGTGTACACACTATGGTCCTCATAAGAAGGCCAAGGTCACTCAGCGGGCAATGGAGAGAGCAATGCTCGGTATTTCCCTACGTGATAGAATCAGAAATGAGGAAATTCGCAGGATAACTAAGGTAACCGACATAGCTCGAAGAATTGCTCAGCTGAAGTGGCAGTGGGCGGGGCACATAGCTAGAGAACCGATGGCGACCGCGCACCGGACGATGCTCTGTGGATGCGGACAGCGCAGGACCGATCGTCATGGAGATCGTTGGGGGAGGCCTATGCCCAGCAGTGGGCGTCGTATGGCTGAATGACGATGATGATGCGTGTACATATTAAGAAATTCGACGTGTCTGCGACAGAAAAATGATAATGGTCTTGTACACGAACTTAATCGGATGTAGCCACGAAAACGTGTCGTGTTGCAGACGAGAAAATGATGAGTATTTACACGATACGAATGCTTTCGGACAGACGTGTGCAGTGCAAAATGTGTCAGAGTCTTCCAGGTAGCTTTCGTTTTACTACCGACTACACTTTACCCCGCCCCATACAATCGGCATACAGCGGCAGAGCGCGTCGTGTCGGGGGTAGATTTTTTTTCTTGTACGGCGCCGAGATAGTGTACACAGTTCGTGTGTAGAAACGACACGAATTCTTGCATAGACCCGGCGACTTTCTTAGCGTGGACACGCGTCCTAAAGGTGGGTATCCATTATGTTCGCGCACCAACTGTGCTCCGCGCAACTGCAACTGCTCCATTAGTGGATACGTTCGCAGGCAACGTTACACGCTCCGCGGAAAGCGCAGCGCGTTCGTGGACGCGAGAAAAGCAACATTCGTGTTCGCTCGACGTTCGAATGAAAACTGTGGAGCAATTACAGATGCGCGGAGTCAATGCGCGAACCGATAGAGCACTTGGTTTTTTTATTGGTAGTGCGGTTACGGATGCGCGGAGCAGAGTTGGTGCGCGAACCTAATGGGTACTCACCTTAAGAATTACATAGCAATCGCACTGCCATTACAATAGTGTTGTAACTCAACTATTGAGATACCCTCTTCCCAACAAAAAATCATCAAAATCGCTTCACAAACGCCATGCAAAAGTTATCCCGTAACATGTGCGTATGTATATGCAAAAAAAAACTAACTAAGGTGTAATTGAGAACCTCCTTCTTTTTTCAAGTCGGTTAATATCGAACCGCCTACGGTGCTAGTGTTTCGCAAAGAGCTAATATAGATTACAAGGTTCCTTCACTCACCATGAGGGGTTCCCGTTAGCGGAGTGAAATGACTAGAGCCCTGCGACGCCGATGCCCCTTTAGCCAACTGCAAAGCTGAATACACGCCCATGGCGCTTTTCTGCAACCTCACAGCCGACGGCGACATGGTCAGCGGCCCTGGGGTTGTGATTGGATGTTTTTCCACTTGCAATGCACTTATAACCACTGCTTCGCGATTGTAGTACCTGTATAGTTGTAAACAAGTTATAAAAGATCATCAAAAGTTTCTAAGGATCAGTCATGTTATTTTCAGGACGCTTACACGTTTGAACTTACTAGCTTAGGCGATTATCACACTGGTCCGCGACACGCAACGCTTCGTTTTTTAAGTTGTATCGAAGTATCTCAGTTAGTATAGAAAACACATCGGTTATATACTCGATGAGAAAACACAACGATGTACAACATACTGAAGCGTCTCCGAGCGGGAGTGCGGGGCACATGATCCATCGTTCCGCGCACTCCGCTGCGTGGTGCGGGACAGTGTGGTAATTGCCTTACTACCAAACAGAGATCTAGAAATCAGATAGTACCTACAACAAAAACTTGAAAGTTTATTTTTGGTAAACTTATTATGTTTTCTACTTCGAAAATATGTATAAAATTGTATTTCATCGTCAATAGCTTCATGGTCAATACTCTCTATAGTATGATATTCGATTAGTAAGGTGAACAAACTATCTTCTTTTCCTTGTAACATCTTTTTTTTTATTATATAATATCATGTGGCGGGACGAACAATGGTTCTGGTGGTAAGCGACACGACTATCATTGCAGTGCCACTAAGAGTTTTAAACCGCAAAGATCTGAGAGATCATCATAGAATCAAGAATCATCATACGCCTTTGATTCCTAGACATTTTTGAGCAGTGTATGTAAAAATTATACTAAATTGTAAATGAAACGTTACTTACTTCTTCAACAGAATTTTGATATGCGTCTCGCTAACAGTAGGGAACATGGCACTGATTTTGGCAACTAGAGCATCTGTGTCGGAGGTGAGCGTTAAGGAGTCCTGGAATTTCTCGTTGAGATGTGAGACTCGGCCGGGAATAGGGCTGCCTCGGGGGGTGAGACATAGCGCCCGACCCAGGATTGGACTATCTGTCGGCGTGCTGTACGCCCGCCCATCCTGAGCATACATTCACGGAGTAAGTAATGGTCCACGGTAAATAGACAATATTGTTTGACTTTCTTTATCTGAATATAGTTATTAGTTATTAGAGTTATATATATGAAACACGACACAGACGATGTTTTTTTAAATGCATATAGCTGTTAAATCCTGTAGTAATATGGCGTATGCACGTTATTCTTTTGCGCGCATAATACGATTCGGACGCCGTTGAGCGACGCCGACTAAACCAATCAGAAATAATTAAGAAGCCATAAGTGAGCGTTGTATGGTAGACGGCAGACAACGGATTTTTTGCGCTGGGAGCTGTCAGGCTTAAATACTAAACGTGGTGGTTTCTCAGTGCTCAGTAAAAGTAAGTTAAATCAATTCTAATCTTTTTTTTAAACAGACATCCATAGTTTATGGAATTACATCTATTTGCCAAGTTTTATTGCAATCGGTTGACAGAAAGTGGGTCAAATAAAATAAACCGGATAAGAGGTGGAATATATTCTTCAAATTTTAATGGGACCATTACCGAACTACCCCTCCTATAAGAAAAGAATCAGGTATCGAATTCGGTTTACAAATGTCAAAGTAATTCCGTGACATATGTACACACACGAAAAAGAAACAACAGCCGAATTGAGAACCTCTTCCTTTTTTTGAATTCCGTTGACATGACGGCTCCAACGACAAAAAACTCCGTTGTCTGCATTCGGGATTGATATATACTTCAACGCAATGCAAGAAGCATGGAAATTAATAGGCAACATTGTTGCGTATCTTGTCACGATACCAATGCAATTAATGCGGCTTTGATTGTCCAATGTAATTACGAATAAACTGCAGATGGACAAAGCATAGACACATTAGATTTAAATAAATTCCAACGTAAAGAGAAACCCAACAAACGTTGCCCAATAATGACCCACCGTAACCAATCGTGCAGGCAACTTAAAGCGATACTCACAAGGTGCGGTTTAAGCCCCTTCGGATGGAACATCTTAGGGCTGCTCTGGGAGCCAAAAGCATGTTGCAGCCGTACGGGGGATGGGTACGGGTGCACATGGTACGAGGACCCGTGGCTGGTCTGCTCCAGGAACAGACATGGGACAAACGTTACTGTGAACAAGTGCTCATAGCGTGCTTCAAACGGTACAAATTGAAGGTTTCTCAGGTACTGTAGCTCTAGTTCTATTTGTACGAGTGGCATTCCATTTCAAGGCATCGCGATGCATCCCAATGTAGATTGGGAGGGAACTAAAGATCACAATTGGATGACATTTTACTTATATTCCCCGTTACGAGTAATTTTCAGGTTAGTTTTCTGTACCTAATTTCGGTGGCAATTTTTATTATTTAAATATTCTACAATATCGATACCTCCAATAAACACTACGCCAACTTAATTTTTGGACCTGTTCTGTTTTTATTTTGTTTTTGTTTCTTTTATTCACAAAATTCGTTTTTAGGTTTCATTTTCTAATTTTGTGTTTTGTTCCTTTTTTTTCACAAAACTCAGGGAGAATAATATTAGTAAATAAATATGGCCGTTTACAAAATAACAGAAAAATGACCAAAAAATAAAGTCGACGCAGTGTCCATTGGATTATCATGAAGTATTACTTAATTTTCTGTTATTTAAATATTCTAGAATATTATCATGAACTTTTACTTAATATTCTGTTGCCTCCTTCAAATCATCATTTAAGAAATGTTTATTATTTACTCAGGTGTCGTGCAACGCCTACGAGCCATTGTACTACCGACATGATTATCTCAACAAATACATGAGAACACATTGTACACACAATACACGCCTAATCAGTTATTATTTTATTACATCCCACCTACTCTACACGCACACCCGCATTTTTACTTTTTGAAGTAAAGAAAACTAACCTTAAAATCAATTAGCAATTAGAAGAGTGCGTGGGCCAATTGATGTGATTACTTCTTCGAAAATCAAGTAGAAATAGCATTAGCCTATTAAGTTGTACTAGAGCACTCTACTAATACACTAAGGTACAGTAAACAGGGCATTACTATGGTCATTAGTTAATCTTCCGGTGCACCTCTATAGTAATCGTGCAATATCATTATTTTTATGTTACAATTAGTGGTCGGAGAATTGGATACTTATTTACCTATAATTCGGTTGGTCGCTAAAACGGAATGAATTGACGCGGATTGACGAAATTAGTGACTATAAAATTGAAGGAAAATAAACGCTTGTAAAATGTAATTTGTAATTTTATGTAACATTTAAATTAACTTTTATCATAATTATCTCCTAAGAGGTAATGAGCCTTAAGTGCCAAATAATAATTTTAACACTGAGTGTTTTAAAGGCAATGCTCTGATTCGTTAATTTTTTTTAATATATAATAGATACACGCTTGGCCACAATCTCACCTGTTGTTAAGCGACTATGGGACGCGTTTGCCTAAAAAATGCCTATGTGAATAGGCTAGAGTGATCTAGCCTTGAATAGCCCCAAATCGTACTTTTCGGGAAATACAGATTACATTCTATCCTTTGAGTATCCCATTCATTTGCCGTACGCATCAGAAAGGAGGAAGCAAAGCGCTTAGTGCGAATAGGTGGAACATCAACGACATAAGAATGGAGTGCTTCTGGACCTTCTAGTCGACCGAAGGAGGAACGGTGAGGTTGGAACTAAATTGAAAAGTTCCTGCTGCTCCAAAATCTAGTTTCTGGTCAAATAAATATCCCCAGTCAGCGATGGTAACGGTATGGTAAAGTTACCTCTATGAGTGAAGAAATAAATTGCTCACAAAAGTCGTTAAAAACAAAAAACAAAAATCTGCAAGAAACACATAGAAAAATTCGTAAGGTTCGCAGGTTCGTTCGTATTTGGCATAGTGCCTGTCACGGTTTGCTATAATCCGGACGGAGCAACGGATTTTTTGTATGTGTTCGATCTTTGTTGTTAAATTATAACAAAGTGGTGGAGCAATTTCTCAAAAAAATGAGATGTGCGAACGGCATCCCAGGAATTGCGGGACGAACCTGGATGAGATTAGCACGGGACCGTGGGGAGTGGAACATACCAGCAGTGGGTAAACTGACGCTGTATATGATGTTAAATAAAAACCAAATAGACTTAATGGCTAGTGATTATTAGTATTAGAACTAAAATACTAAAGCAATGTTTGTAAAAACATCTATATTCCAAAATACGGACTTAAAGTCCTTCTCGAACTTCTTCTTCTCTTCGAACATAAAAAAAATATAGTTTTAATATTTTTTTACTGAAACCATGGCATACCATCGACTTCTAGCTTTTCAGTACCGAGATCCACTTATTACTTATTACTAGTTATCATCAGACCTTCAAGTTTTATAGTCAAACTCTTATGTACTTCACCATCATCAGTGTATCGCAGTCCACTGATGAACATAGGCCGGTCCCAACGCGCGTCACTTCGCCCAGTCCATCCATCTGCTGCCAGCAGCCTTTCGTACTAATATTAATGTCACGAATATATAAATAGTAATAATGTCACGAAATTCCGGCTTCCTGGGTTGAAAATAATAGAAAATTTTAGGAAGCCGCTTCCATATTTCGACATCAATTCTCTAGAAAATGCACCCGAATGTCCGACCACTAGTTATAATTACATGCGCGCTTGGAAACACGCTTTTGAAGCGCGATTTAGCCTGGCTTTAGATCTTATACCGACACGACTTTCAAGTGCTGTTACCCCCGATTTTTCATACTGGTGCAAGTGCAACACGCGTGAAATAAATGGAGCTTGTGTGCCTGAATAGCCTCAACCACGCGTTTACTTCACATTTTGTCGCTAGAGCCGCGTAAAACATTTCACAACTACACAAGGCGTCACACGGCTATGCCACACGGAGGGAAAGTACCTTAAATATCGTAGATAGAAAATTTTACTGAAAGAAGACTGTATGATTTTCAGTACGAACTTGATTTTTAAATAATCGCCCGTCTGAACCGGTAATCAAACCCGCCAAATGTGAAAAAAGCCTGTATTTTTACGATACTGATCTAAAACCTCAATCATAAGGATTGTTTTCTTCTAAATAGCATAGCATCTTAAACAAAAGGAAGACTATGAAAATTTACATTAATTGAAATAATTAGTTTTTATTTTTTTATAATCATCCAGCCGCATTGTGATTGTGAACACAAAAACATACTTACAACAATTTACGTACTATCTCATTATTATTTTATCATGCACTTTTATTAGGGAAATGATATCTATTTCTAAATTTTGTACTCATTACAGTACCGGCACACTATGACGGCCATTCTGACAGATTATCTACATTAGTGAGGTCAACTCTCAATCCAATATCGAAAAAATATAATCAAATGCGAGTCGCAAATTTGTAGGTCAATGGTCACAAATATAAATTTTTAGACTTCTAAGGGACTTAAGGGACTAGTATTGAACCCCTAGCTGATTAAAAAGTTGACAATAAAAATGTTTACTCATCATAATCGCCAATTCGAAACTGCTTTGTTTTGCATTGACCTTTGATGCGAGTTTGCCGAAGGTAGAAGTTGTGCCAGTGTTCTTATAAGTGACCATCGTGTTAGATTTCCTTTTTTTAAATTTCGATTTTCGAAAAAAATTTGTTGAGTTGTGTCGAAAAATTATACATCGATAAATTTTACAGCACGTAACTATTGACAACAATGTACAACAAGTAGCTCCTTCGACGTAGTTACCAATTAATAAGAAACTCGACGAGCGGATAATCCTCAAAACGGCCATCATGGCGTGCCAGTACTTTAGTAACACTTTGAAATGGTAATGTCAGTTATCATGAGCGCGGCAAAGTCAGAGAAAAGGCATATTCGTGAATAAAATTTCAAATTAAATGTTAAACATGGTCTTCTCTTTATTTAAGTTGCTACGTTATTTAGAAGAAAACGATCCTTACGACTGAGGCTTACGGTCAAGTAAAATTATAGATGTTTTTTTCACATTTTGCGGGTTCTATTCCAGGTTGACTTCCAGACAGGCGATTCTTTAAAAATCTTTGAATGCATTTCGAATTGTTGTTAATACCAAAATGAATACTTCTCTCATTAAAATTTCCTACTACGGTATTAAGGTACTTCCGCTCCGTGTGACATAGCCACAATCAATAACATATTTAATGGCCACAATCAATAACATTTTGTATGGAAACAATTGACGCGGTCTATAGAAACAACTGTCGTTGTAAACTCATGTTAGAAGCACTGATACTGTTTGCAATTTTTATTTTTTTGGTGACGTTTACCTCCAGCCAATTATGGGGCAACGACGTAACGGAAAGGCAGCCATATTGGACAATATAACAATTCCATTATCATGGAGACAGTCTGCCGTATTTATGATCAGAGAAGAATGGTGTTAGAATTTTTTAAGGGTATCATGTACCATGGCAAAAATTATTATAAAAATTAAAATAAGTAAAAAGAGAGGCACACAAAAGCTTCACACAATACTTTCAAACATATATGTATGTACACGGGGTGTATGAATGTATGGGTACTTTGTCCATTACTATGCTGTTGGTATGATAAACGCTCCAATGCAGTCTGTTCTTCATCTCTGATTTCTGAAACTTCATCAAATCTGAAATTTTAAAGTAGCAATTTAGGTACTCCTATAGTGGGAAAAGAATAAGTTATATGTGGATAACTCTTTTCTCTCTCATTTTTAATTTCCTGCTATACTTTGACCTCAGCCAAAAGGTCAAGTAGCAAAGATGATTACCAATATTTATAAATATTTTCAACAATTTGTTTGGGTAGGCACATGTTGCACCATATAGCCACTTCATATGTTTAGTTTAGTTTTCATGTCAAGAAGAAATGCTATATAATTGTATAGGACAGAGTATGCGTCTATGACCTATTGATTACCAGTTTATAAGAACTTTCTTTTGAAGAAATCTTATTTTTAAATTGTCTGATTTCTGCAGACAGGGTTTGAGTCTGTGACAATTTCTTTATTATTAAAAAAATCAGATGAGGAAATTAATAATAATAAATAGTAAATATTAAAAAACATCACATTATGTTGCTATCAGGGCAACGTTTGTCATGCTAATTAAAACACTTGTAGTAAGTAAGTAACTAAGGCACATTATGATATGGAAATTGGAAACCACGATGGTACCACAAACACCTAGACCCGAAACAATATAGAAAAGTTACTTTTGTACATTGACCCGGCCAGGACTCGCATCCGGGCCATCAGAGATGGCGACACCATGTAAACTAATGTGCAATCCACTGAACCACTGAAGTCGCCAAAATTTTATATTTCCAATGGTAGAAATATTTGAATTTTTTTTTGTGGCTTCATTAAAGTGTCCTGTTCAATTTTATACAAAGATGTAAGTGCTCACTAGAACTGACATAACAGTAAAATTTTTGTGTCCAATTTCAACTTTGTACAGACGGCAGCCCTTCAAGCTTCACATGACAGATCTTATTCTTTTTTTTACAAAATCAAGTGACAGGACTAACAAGTTGTGCGCCTGATGGTAAGCTAAATGCCTGTCCATAACAGTTCCAGTGCCACTCAAAGCTTTAAATTGCAAATATCTGAGGGGCACTGCCACGGGCACAGTGGCCCATCACCTTGAGACATAAGTTGACAAGTCCCATGTGCTTGTAACTTCACCAGCACCCTTACTCTTTTAAGCCGGAATACAGTAATGATCACATTATGACAGAAATAGGCAAGGTGGCAGGACTTCCCTGGACAACTCTTTATAAGCTCTATTGCTACTAATTTCTAGCAACAACAAACAAATCAACTAGATGGCGCTTATTGCATAGATTTTTATGGAGTGCCGGCAATTCTTTTTACCTTGTTTAGAATTAGTGCCATCTACCCATATTAGGAAGTTGGATGGTTGATGGAAGATGTACGAAAATTCGAATAAAAGTGTATAGCTTGATGTGCTGTTTACTGTACATTTTGATGACTCTTAATTTTAAACATATTTTCAGGTTTAGTCAGCTATAATTTAAAAAAATACAAGGCATAAATATTGTCACTGACTCCAACGCTGCCTGTGGGGATGCAAAAAAGTAATAATAAAAAAAATTGTCTTCCGAAAAATTGCATACAGCTCGACACCAAAGTGTTCCTTTTCCTAATTCCTAAAAGTTGCAATATATATTTGGTAAATTAGAAATAGCTCATTACTTGCTCAGAACTTCTTCATTACAATATAAAATGTGTCATATTCATACTGTTTGGCTTGAGTGTTTACTTTAGTCCAATTGGGAGCCTAGATTAGGAAAGTAGATGTGGATAGATATGGAAACATAAGGTGGTGATGTCAGCCTAAAGGTGAGAAGATATTTCTATAACTTTTCGATATTAAAACAATAACTTAGAATGAAATTTCTATTGTTACATCAAAATAAAACGGCCATTTAATAAAAGAAGAAATAAAATATATATATTGAGTTAAATATCCATTGATTACACGCGTAGAAGATACCCGATACGCATTGACAAAATTATGTTAACAAATCTATGCTACTTTCATAAAGTCAATATATTTGTTAGTTAATATCTTACCTGAGGATGTATACACTCCAAAGCAATGTGATGGGCTGTATTCTGCAGTGACTTGTGTTTTGATCGTAGTTCTTCCATTTTAATGTATAAACTAATTAATAAACACTGACAAAATAAAGAACTCCACGATATAATGAATTTCGGGGTAAATATAGAGTGTACACATTTTAATGAATAAATAAACAAAATTATTTTACATTACGTTTGTTAGTAAACCACTCAAAAAAAGATTCATTTCATTTTAGTTTGATATTTCCCTCCTTCGGTTCTGTTTGGCAGATTTGTGTCGTAATACGGGAAGGAAGCCAGAAGATTATTAGTCAACAAAAGAAAAAAGTAACCTGTGACAGACAAAATATAAACATATGTCACGACTACAAAAATTTGCCATATAATATTGCGTAAGAATGGCGTTCAAAAATCAATAATTGTGGATGCGTTCGCAAACTTAAATTTTGCATACAATTTGATTAAACATTATGTTTATTGATTTTAAAAGCGCAACTGTTTTATTCATTACGATTCAAATTAAACTAATATCCTTGGTAATTAAAAAAAAAACATCAATGGTTTTTTTCAAAGATCAGTAAAACTGCTGATGAAAATTTATAAGACTGCTAGCTTTTCACAATTAATTTTGATTCAAAGATCTTTAGATCGACATTTATGTTTGTTAGATTTGTAAGTGAATTATTGTGATTGTTACAAAAACAATAATGGTATGTACTACACGTTATTTATGTATACATATTAGTTTCATTGGAGTGCTCTTTTTGAAATTCGAATTTGCCGCTATAACCTCGGCGTTGATCATGAAAATTGTTTTCAATTCGTGTTAATAATGGCGGATGGTGTCTGAACGTAGTCTGTTTAAAATTTTTGTATTCACGTTATAGTTGAAAATTATTGATGTGATTGATTGCAAAATTAGGCCACACCGCAAAAGGGGTTTCGGGGCGGATGGAAAAAAAACAATGGCAGAGAACAGAAGTTCGGACAACGTCGTCATGCCGGACATTACCGAAGTTTCGGAAGCCGATCCGTTGGCGGCCGCAACCGAGCACGACACGGAGCGGAGCGATGGCGGCGTCGTTTTGGCGAGTGGGATCAAGGCCGCGCGGCTTTCCAGCGACTCCGAAGGTGTTGTCACCGTGCCAGTCTCTTTGCCTGTAGGCACACTCATCGCAGGGACCACATTCAACGTGATCGGCCAGTTGCCTAACTTCAAACCTATGATATGTGTGGACAACGGGTTCATATCTGGTGGACCGGTGACTGACGAACTGAAAGCGACTCATATTGTGATTCAAAACCCGCAGTCGCCGCAGGCTGCGCGTGCGCATATCCTCGAGGACGGGTCAACGTCGACGACATCAACGCGATCCTCCAGCACGAGATCATGGGCCGAAACAGTCAACATGCCCATTCTACCCATTCGGTGTAAAAACACTTCAGCTGAATTGCACAAACAGAAATTTGGTTCAGGCGGAAGAGGAAGATGTATAAAGTATGGCATGGAATGGTACACTCCTAGTGAGTTCGAGGCTCTCTGCGGTAGAGCGTCTAGTAAAGACTGGAAAAGGTCCATTCGGTTTGGTGGTAGAAGTATACAAGCGTTGATAGACGAAGGTATTCTAACACCTCATGCAACCAGTTGCACGTGTGGTGCTTGCTGTGATGACCAGAACGGTATGTGCACAGGTAATTGTACTAAACCCCCAACCCGTACTACTAAAACAGTGAGAACACGTATTAACAATGCTTTAATTGCAGCAATGGGTCCGGTAAGATTATTCACTCCTTACAAGAGGAAGAAACGGCCAAAGGTGAAACGGGAGCACAGCACGTTGGGAGAGAATGATGTCGACAACATTAACCAGAATAGCAATCACAGCCAATCCAAAGAGTCATGGCAACAGTTGGCAGAAGGTTTAGACACTAGTGCTGACTACCATTTGCTGGAAAACCCAGAACCCCCACCAGATCCCCATGCAGGTAATAAATTACAGTAATTATTTAATGTGGGCATTGCACAAACATATAGATAGATAAGGTGAATGTGAGTGGCAAATCTCTAAAGGTGCACCAGGGCAAATTTACCATGTTGAAATTGATTATGTCCTGAAAAAAGGCCAGATTAACAGTACGCTTAATGGACGAGCATGTATGAGAGTATTGTATTGTACATGTGTTAATGAAGTGAGTAATTTGTGTCGGGATCATAGATCAAAGCCAAATAATCATTTACTCCGTAACATTTTTATGCTTGAAAATGTTAATTTTTAAGCTACTTCTCTTTACTGTGCTGACTTCCCTGAGAAGAACGAGCAAGAAACTAGGGATTGCTCTTTTCAAACAAACCCAAATGCTATAGAATACACTACCAAATTTATGTGGAATCTAGAGCCATCTTGCCTTTCCATACATTTTTATCTAGAACAGGCTTCAATTTTGTATTATGACTTCTATGTAAGTTTTAAACTTAGGAAATGATAATGCTCCGGAATCTTATGTGTACAGTACCAAACATATACAGTAGTCATGACATATTTGTGTGTATTTCGTCTGTATTGTATCATAATGACATGGTATTCATACATATAAATTGATTTTGAGAAGGTCCATGGAACCAGCACCAAAATTCAAAAGGCTTATTTTGGACCTTACATATATATTACATTGGCCTGTGAAATGCAATAGGATGCATTCATATTCTTAATATGGTGAACATGAACATCATAACGAACATAATATACTCAGAATTTACACGCTAGAAGCGAACAATGTTTAATATATTGGTATATAATAAAAAGTAATATATTAGGGGTTAAAGTATGAAATTGCCGTTTTATTGCAATAGGTTC